TATATATATATATATATATATATATATATATATATATTAATTTTAAGCAGAAATTGATAAATTCACTTTAATAATTAAAGTTATTGAGAAAACTTTGAATTCTATTATAATAGGCGAGTGTTTTTTTAGTCGAGTCAATAAGTAATAGATTTGTTTAGTATATTTATTGTCTTTGAAGTTGTTACAACATAGAGAGTATCTAATATGTGGGACAACTCAACTCCACTATTTCCCACAAGGTCTGATAAGGCTGGCACAGTTTTCAAGTACAACAAAAGCAACAGCTACTCGAGCTATTCAAGTCGAGAGAGGATGATGACTGGGCGATTCGGAATGGGGATTCGCAGTCGGATTCGCATTGGCATTAATTTGTCAATGTTTATGTTTATGTTTATGTCTCGAATCAATATTATCAACAACGTCAGCATTATGCATTAATAATGATGCTTAAGCACTTTAGTCTAGGCAAAAGTAAAACAAAAACGCGTTAGCCACGAGTTCGAGTCCGAGAAGCCGGGAAAGGGGAAAAACGATTAAAACACGTATACATATACATATAGATATGCAAATGGCGTTGAGCCGTGAATTTAATGAGATTTTGTATCAACAAATGTGACAGCGCCAGCTTCTGCGACGAAGAGGTGTGATTGAATAGTTTCTATATAGATAAATAGTGTGATAATGAGTATAAAGAAAGATAGTTTGTGAATCAGATCTTTAATATTCAAGAAATAAGATAAGCTGAATTTAAAACAAAATAACAATAATGCATATATTGATGTATTTTACGAATTTATTGAAGACTATTTTTGTCCTTAAAATAAATAGATCAAATGGAAGGATAAATTGAATCAACATAATTATGAAAAAAGGCTTTCCGACAAATTTTTTTATTATTTAAAAATTAATTTTAAAAGAATAAAATTAAATTTATTTTATTTTTGTATTGTAATTAAAAAAAAAAAAAAACGTATTTTAATACAATTCTCAGTTTATCAGTTTGTCCCTTTAACATTTAAATTAAAATATCCACTCAAACACATTTTAATATGACTCGTATTAAACGTGCAAGCCAACCTATATAAAAACAATAATAGGTGATACCAATAACAATTTTTATCTGAATTCGATCAAGTTAAACTTGTTAACGTAAAGCTTATCAGTTGGACATTTTCAAAAAGTTAATGCAAACACACAAAAGCGAAACATAAGATAAAATGCAAGACTTGCTTAAGAATAAATTTGTTTTTTTATTTCGAACATTTTTTAGGTAATATTGACTTTTTGGTTTTGCTTTTATCACTGGGGTCTTATGCAGCTGCCGTGTGGCTAATGCATTATTTTTTTTGTCAAATTTCAGGGCAACACTTAACGCAACGTCGAGTTCATTTTTTATGTATCGCATGTAATTAAAAAACATTAACACGACGACTACAACAACAACAACTACAATGACAACACGACAGCAACTGCAACAGGGGCAACAACAAGCGCGTTGACATTAATGCCAGCCACAAAGTGCAGGGCAGTCCACAATACAATAATACAGATAAACAGAGACGCATAAGAGATATACACACCACACACACACACTCCCACTCATACACACATACATATACACATATACATATACACATACAAACTGGCAAATGACAAGTGGACTGCAGCTGTCTGTTGCACTTGTCAATCAAATGCACAGATGTGCCGTTAACAATGCCGGCTCCTCTAAAACGCGCGCGCGGCTGCCGACAAGACGACGAAATGCAGTTTTTCGCTACAATTTGCTTTTCTTTGCTTTGCTCGCGATCCAGCCAACCGCTCGCCGGCAAGTTTTCCATAAGACTGAAAACACAATTTTTCTAGACGCAACACAATTTTTCATGCACGCATTTCGCCGGTTGGCCCAACTGTGCGTTCGGCCGAATCAGAAAGCTTAGCGGATAGAGAGCTTTAGACGACAAGTTTATTCAGCTCTGCATTCGGCTATTCAGTCGTTTTGGCGCGCAAAGCACGGCACGAGCTTTTGTGAATGACGAACAACAAAACGTTTCACTAATTGAGCATGCCAAGCGGGGGGCTCGAGCGGCAAGCGAGCTGCTTGAACAAAGCGTGCGTAAAAATTGAGATTGTCTGATTAGAATACAGGGTGTTTCGAGTGAGTGGCTGTTGAAATCTGCTCTTAGCAGCTGGTCGAATTTCGTTTAGAATTTTCCATGAACGATATAATATGTATACTCCAGCAGATCATGCTAACGAGGGGAGTTGGAAGCTTCAAAAATCAAATTAATTCTGATTTCTTATGTAAAACGGAACTGACGGCTTTAACTATTACAATTGGACTTTAATTGCGTGTATAAATTATTAATATAAATTACCAATAATACTGTATTAAATCATATACGAACAATCAGATATAACGGATTTATCCCCCATAATTATCTCCGTAATGTAGAGAAAGTATTTTAAGACTGACTGCTGCCATTCGAGTAGTTCGAAAATGCCATCTGATCAGCTCAACACTTCCGCAAGGCGTCCCAAAGAATTAATTCATTGTTAATAACAAGTTAAATTGGCTGACAGCCGAAGCTGCGACATCCTACATCTATGCAGGAGTATAAAAGCAACAACTTGCTCGTATTTGACTGGTAAATGTAAATTGTAAACTGTCATATATGAGTATAGATGTTTTTGTTGCTGTTGTTTTTGTTGCTATAAGTGAAGTGATATCAGGGAAACACTTTCCAGCGACATTCATAACGAGTTGCTATGCTTCACTACTCAATACGTCACAGCTTCTAAAAGTCCCATACAATAATGACAGTTGAAGATGAAGCTTCGATTTTTCAACTTTCGCCATAAGAAAATGATTCGCAAACTGAGCATAATTAAATGCGTCACATTGGGGAACTCCACGATTGGCCCGAGTCTCTGGTAACGTGATTTAATCACGAGAGGGGAATAAAACAGATTAAAATCTCATTGGAACTAGGTGTTATTTGTGCGCTATTGGAGATTATTTTTAAGGCCAGTTTTTCAACACATTTGCTGTGACCGTTTTAATTAGTGTTGCGCTAAGCTAATTCATTAGCAATTAATTGATTGTCAAATTGATAACTGTCATGCAATTGATTGTCAACTATATAGAGAACTGTTGGGAGTGTCTGACTAGAAGATACCCTGAATCCTGTGGTTTCAAGCCTCTAATGCGTCTTTTCTATGTATATACAGGGTATAAATATATATATTCATTAGCTAAACAAACTAACACCAAAAAGACGGGTTTGAATTCCAATCCCACTGAAACTCCCCCCTCTCGCGACTAATGAAAGCCAAGCACAAGGCCAGTTCCATTTAAAACCTGATTAATAGCCAACAACTATATCGTATTCTCGTAAAATATGGTAAGCTGTAAATCGTGCTTGCATTTCAGACTCAATTATGAACTAATAAGAAAGTAAATTTTTTGTTAAAAATGCTCTAAATGGTATGCCCAAAAAAAGTAGTTGAAAATGTAATAAATGCGAGCAATTTCGCAACAAGCTGTTATTCTTAATTACTATGAGTGCAAAAGTTACTTTTAGTGGTTTATTATTTTTTCTATTTAAGATCTATTATATACTACTATCATATACTATTCGTATAAGATGCCCAAAAATAAATGTTTCAGAGTTCGGCGCTTCCATGCCAAACACCAGCCATTGGGTTCTACAATCAATCAAATCTAATGAATACAGATATTTGGTTAAATTTCCTTCTTATTTTGATATTATTTGATCTACAAAATAACAAAGTGAAATGAAACAGTTGACACTTAATTAATATCAAGCGATCGCTTTTCCGATGCCGCGTATACATAATCAGCATCTTTAGTCAGCTTGATAGCTTTTTAATTGCATTCGAGCTGTGCGAACAGCAAATTAAAATTGAGTCATTTGCAGTCGACCATTAATTATGAAAACTTAATATATGCTTAAGTCTTGCATTAATATTATTCTTAAATAAGATGTATACCAGTTTGACGTTTGTCTTAAGAGAGATTTTGCTTCTGCTTCAGTATATGAGGCGTGAGATCTATCTATCTGTATGACTCCCTGTCCGCACAAGAGATTTGACAGGATAAAAAACTTGAGGATTAGTTGACGCGAATCCTCCATAAAACGGAAGCAGACTCTTGACCAGAATGTGAATCAATTAACAGTTGTTGACAACTCTGTGAATAATGAATAACACTTTTATGAATAAAAAGATTTGCCATAAATCACAAAAGTATTGCACAGCATGTAAGAGCTCTATAGGCGCTGTGTTAGTGTTTGACTAGGAAATATTCTGAACATTCTGTAAGACAGCTGTTCCGATCATTGTAGGCTTGTCGCATATATATATTAATGTTTTACCCCACCTGAATACTCACGGTCAAGACTAGCTCTACTCAGCTTGCCATCTGATCATGAATTGATGAATTTTGATGAGGTGTGCCGCGCCTCTTTATATGTGGTATACATATTCATTTTCACAAAAATATACTCTAAATCTGTCTGATAATGGTTGCATTCGAGCCGAATGTGATAAGCCAATCATAAAGCAGCTCCCTATAATAATTCGAGCTGGCCAGATACCTTAGATTCCTGAACTTAATTGCAATCAGTATTAGATTCGCGTGAACAGCCAATGAGCCAAATTTCGTGCAGACAAGTTTACTCAGCGGGATTCGATTGAAGTATGGACACGTTGTGTTTGACTGATTCTGTTATTTTTTTTTAATTCCTCTTATTTCCATTATGAAGAAGGAAAAATCGATGTGACATATCTGGAAAGCTGTAATACTTAAAATATATAAATTTAAGTAATACACTTTTCGTATTTGTATTTCCCAAATTTGTAGTATGTGACTTCTTTGTTATCGCCAGGGATAATACGCGACTGGTACTGCAGTAGAAGAGCTGCTCTACTTCCAGCTTAATGAACGCCACTCATGTCACCTGATTCCCGTCTTCAATCTAAGCAGCTATCGATATGCTTGCGCTGCCACAGCTGTCGATTGTGAAGGGCTTGCAGCAGGATTACGTGCCCCGGGGGCTGCACCGCATCATCGAAGAGCACCAGCTGCGCCATGCCGACAGCGTGGCGCTCATCTATGACCACGGCCAGGAAGACAGTTCGGGGGCAAGTCAGAGCACCTATCGGCAGATGAACGAGCGTGCGAATCGTGCCGCACGCCTACTCGTCGAGGAAACCCACG